TGCTTTTTGGTACTTTCCAACTTATTACTCTAGTTTTATCCTTTTGGTGACACAGGGCATGTCTAAATGCTCTATTTGTTTCTTCAAGATCAGAAGGATGGGCCCTGAGAAATTAGGGTATCCTAGGTTGAACAAAACAATTAGTATCAATTGACCATGAAGATACAAGTGACCTTGATTAATAAATTTGCTAATGAAGTTTTGTAACAGATCTGCTGAAGGCAAAAGGTGTTGACGGGAAAAGCAACTAGCTCCCTCTCCTGTGTCCCTGGACACTTAATAAGTACCTAACAGTCTTGATGACACACAGTGATTGCCAGCTTGGAATTGCTCCTTTCGACCTGGAAGTGGCTGTATTCTAGGAGTGACAAGAAGCCCGGCGTCCAGCAAATGCACATGCCATACATGGGTAGCTGGGGTGAACTTGAATGTAACAGGAAGAGCAAGAAGGGGGCTTTGACATAAAGTTAATATGCAACAATCGATATGCAACAATGAACAATGGAAACAGGATCCTAGAGTTTCCCATAGGAGTGTACTGCAGGTTTTGTATTAACTCAGTCCCAAGTGCTACTTTTCCTGAAAGGAACTTCTCTGGAGTGCTCATGCTACTTGTTAGACTCTGAACTTTAGAATAGCACCCACACTCTCTTTTGTCCCCAGACCTTGTTCTCTACATTGCTTCCCCCCAAAGTGAACTCTGCACCTTGGGCCATCTGAGACTCCTGGAAACAGGGAACTTCTGGGAGCAGGCTGAGGCCTCTGGTGGAAACAGCAGTTGAAGGGCATGGGGGCCTGCAGATAGTGACCAGTAAGCCCCACACAGCCGGGGCTAGTGGTTCTGTGTAGTACCCAGTCTTGAGTGATGGGTTCTGTTTACAAAATGCTCAAAGGACAGAGAGATGCTCAAAGATTTTTCGCCACATTTATTTTGTGCTGAAGAAGGCTGAACTACAAAAGATATTCTCTGCCAGTGGAGTTATTAATACAAAAAGTTATATCTATATCTATATGTCTATATATACATGTATATATAAAACTAAGGCATTTTTGAAAGGCTACTGCTGTGAAAAACATACTTAACTAACCTATATACATAGAGGAAATTTATGAACACTGCCATCTTTAATTATAAAGATGAAATATACAGATAATACATTTAAATTCTATTACGAACCATTAAATTCCTTTGCATACTTTAAGAATAAAAATGTAGATCATATGGCATATTAGCAAAAGTACAATATGGAAATTTAAAGCCAGACAGAGTCTGCATATCTGATATGAAGTCATACTGAAAGCTGGTCTTCTGTGGAGTAAACAATTTGCCTTATAACTGAAGAATTGCTTGGCTTTTGGTTTAAGCTCACACCCAGTTTTCATTTGCCGATTCTGCTTTCACTTGTTCGAGAGTTTGCAAGAGTATCCTTGTGTACTTTCATAGTTTTGAATGTCAATTATCTTGAAAAATTTGAAATAAATCTCTTCAGCAAAGTTTGAATCAAGCAGGAGGTTAAAATACATCATTTGACCCTCAAAGCAATAATGTAAGATTTCAAGAGGGAAATCCAATTATTCTATGCAAGGGAGAAATGGTACCTCTTTGGAAAAAAATAATTCAAAAATTTTAGGATGTGATTGAAAAATAAGAAAAGCAAAAGGTTTTTCAAAGTTTTAAATTGCTGAGCTCCCAGCTGGGGTATTGGTTTTCTGCAAGTCCACAATTTTGCTGATGGTAGATTTATACTGGGCACAGCACAAGAGAGGACTTGCAAATTCTCATTCATACAATGTCATAAGGATACAAAAAGGGTTTTATTTTACTTCTCATTCTCTCATTACTTACATCTTGTGTTTAAAACAAAACATAGGAAATTCAAAATATAGAAATAAACAGTAGTCTCTGCACTGAGGGAATATGGATGGGAAAAGTGTAAATAGCAAAGGAGAGAAATGTAAACTTTAAGGTTTTCACAGAACCATTAATTCCTTCTGCACATATTGGGTTATTTAGGATTATCAGCTAAGCTTTTAAATATACATTTTCTTAACAAAGAGGAAAGGTTGGACATATTCATGTTTTGATAATAACTTTATTTTTTCTCTTCTTTGAATTATGCTATTTTGATCCAATCTACAAACTGCATCAATATTGATCATTCGAGTTAATGAAAAATAGCCTTGCTATTGTTATTTAATAGCTAACAGGTTTGGGGTAGTAAGATTTCATTTAAGTGCGTTTCACTGTCCCATATTGTTACAAGATGAAGAATTTTGCTATCTTCTGACACTTATAATGCTGTCATATGGATTCCTCAAATAACTGCCTACTTTACCTCTAAAGGATATGGTGGTATAAATTGCATCAAATAAAGTCTACCGATCCTTGAGTCTCTTAAGAGGAAGCCATCAGAGACTCTAGGAACGACATCTTCAAACAGGATACCCTCAGGCTTGATTTCTAAGCTGAGGCAGATATACAACTTCAGACTTTGAAACTATTTCTAGAATAGAATCCTAGGGATAAGAAAGGCAGCATGTGGGGTGTGTGTATGGAATTGGAATGGAGGTGAATGAGATGGTCAGGTGGGCTGCAGTCAGCTCTACTGTCTACCTCGTCTTTGACAAGGAGGGGAGGGAATACTTAGATCTTCAGTTCATCCTGAGATTCCTGTTCTCCTGCAGAAGTCAATAGCCTTCCTGAATTTCTCGTGGAGTTGTGGGCCTGTCCATGTACAAGACGCCAAGCCAGAGACAACATAAGACTTTCCCACCCTCGCCCTTTGCTTATGCCTTTTTATCCTCTACCTTTTTCAGCTTGGTTAAAAATAAGATACAATAGACTAAAATAAAGCTGAAGGAATAATCTCTTCCATTTTATTTAGAAAACAGAATGTCATTGGTAATCTACCATGGGTGATGGGTAACACATGAAGGAAGAATCTCAGAGACAGGTTTAAGGCTGGTTCTTGCTCTCTCTCCATTTCAGAGTCCACTGTCTATTAATCCCTACACAGGGGATCACATAAAGAAGCATCAGGCATGGAGTGCTTCTTTTAGGAGGTATTTTATTACAGGACACAATCTTTTATAGGACTATTTCTATCTTCAAATCCACCCCTTTCCCTCTACACACACACACACACACACACACACACACACACACACACACACACACACACACACTTCTCTAGAGAACTTATTGAGCACCTCACTCTGAGAATAGATAGTGGGATCTTTGCTACATTGAAGATATATATGATGCCACAACTAGTACAAGCTCCAGACTGTTTGTCTTTCTGCAGATCCTCACACTGTCCCAGTCCCCACTACACTCCCCAATTGACATATTGCCTGTCTTAACCTCCTCTATTTAGGGTCTATCTCTGAGACACAATCACACCCAATATTCATTTTTTGAAATCGCTACACACCTTTCTTCACTCAAAACATTCCACTGGTGTGACAAAGACTGGTTATTTGAAATGGTCTTGGACCGTTTTTTTAGTCAGACCATAAAATAAAATAAAGACAACATGGTCATTTGTTGTGCCATCAATACTTGGGCTTATTCAGCTGAACTGCCTGTTCCAATTGCTCTCCAGAAAATACAAGCTGCATTCAAGAAAACCATTCCTGAGAGAAGAAAATACCCACTGGTCTTTGATTAAAGATATGTAAGTATTGCAACTCCTATGCTATAATTGATTAATTTATACATGTAAGGCATAGCAATCTCATTTACCTGTCTGACTTCTGGCCTTATCTGGAATGTTGAGGCTTGCCATTTGCTATTCAAGAACTCTTTTTCTCCACCATAAAGTTTAAACAAAATGTCTTGTGTACATGCAGGTAACCTACCAAACCAGTTATTAGTGGGGACACTGACTGAGGAAGATGTGGAAGGCTCACATTCTGAGATTTTATTGGAGATTTTATGGAGAGATTTTTCATCCAAAATTTTTGGATAATGGCCACTTTTATCTAAAATGCACTCAGTTTCCCTCAGTCTGATACACAAAACTAAAGAGCATGTAGGGGTGGTACCAAAAAAATAGATGAATTAAAGTTTAGACCAAGAACCTCGGCTGGTTCTGTGTTGAGTTTCCTAACTGTGAAAAAGTCTATGTTTTCTTATGCATATAGCTGTGGATAACCAGTCAATTCTCACATGCTATCAGGCTACCCTATGAGCAAATAATGTATTTGGGTTACCAGTATGTCAATACATAAATATCAAATAAAACAGGTATTTTTTTCCTCCACTGAGAGATTCATTCATTTATTTCAAAAATATTGATTAAGTACCAATTATGTGAATGCATTGTTCTTGGTGCTAGGAATACATCAACAAACAAAACAACACCAAGCAGAAACCCTTGCCTGTCATTGTAGCACCTTCTAGTGAGATTCTAGAACACAAGTTCCTAGAATATTAGGAGGAATTTTCTATTTTTCTTCAGGCTTCAATTTTCTAAATAGGAGAAAGGATACTGATAGTGATGTTTCTGTGCTGAGCCAGAGGGAGAAGCAGGTACCTATTAACATGCCCTTTATTGTGAGAGAGAGAAAGCTGCACTGCTGACTTCTTCCTGGCTAGGAGAAGATAACAGAGGACTCGGTAGCAGCAAGCAGCTTGGAAATCCAGTCATTTAACAAACATTTATGACACAATTACTCTAAGGTATTCATATACACTAGCTGGATATTTTCTTTCTAAGACAATCTATTGTCTTCATCTAATGTCATCTCTGGTTTGTAAGAGTTACTCCATGCCTGAGTATATTCCTAAGGAGAACAGTTTGTGCTGTAGAAATAGGTGCAACTTCTACTTACACCACATGTGAATGCATTTCCCACGCATGGGCAATTTACATATTAACATGATCAATGATCATTATGGAGTTGGGTCTTATAGAGCTATGTCTATAGTACCAAAAATCCTAATGTCAAGGTGACACAAGTGATGGCCTAAAAGGCTGAGACTGTGCTGCTCTTACCATGACTGAGATGTGAAGAATCCTCAGCTCCTCTTCTGCTGACTCATGCTGGGGTTCTTCAGTTGGGTCTTGTCCAGGAAGGCTTGGGGCACCATCTTGGTGATGGATGTGAAAAAGCAAAGTGCCATTCTCTAGCCACTGCTGCCTCCAGCGCACCAAAGGGATGTCCTCTGTGTTCCCTGAGATCTCTAGAGGATAAATATCAAAGGCACATGTGAGAATTTAGATAGGACCAAGTTTTCATCTTCCTAGCCACCGGTACCAATTGGCCAGTTTCATCTGAAGGCATCAGAGCGTTCCAACTATATATAGTTAGGTCAGACCCTGCTACTCCAAACCTCAAGGAAGGAAGGCAACCCCGAGAAGAAAAAAATTATCCCCCATAGATCATTCTACCATAAATCTACTGAGCCAGAACTTCACCCATTGAGAAAAATACCAAGATGAAAATTCAAATTCTTCCCTTATTTCTATGATCAATAGCATCTTTTACACAGCTCAGTTTGAATACCTGATAACCCCCAAGGTAAATACAAGGTTGTTTGCCTCTTATAAATTTGAAAGTGTGAGTTCCTCAGCAATTACTCCTAGACACACCAGTAAATTTACTAAAGAGAGAGTTGGTAATTACTGTGCAGAGAACTGCCATTTATGGAATCGTCCTGGGAGGTTACTACAGAACCAATGGGGCTGGCAGGTTATTTCTAAAACCACAATCATTTGCTGCATAGTCCACTGGAGATGTCTGATAACTTGCTATGACAGGCAAAGTAATATTTTAATTCCCTTTAATTTTGCTTTTCAGTTTTGCAGAGCAGAGGTGGTGTACATGAAAGAAGCAGTGAAGAATTGGGTCCTTATTAGCAACACACTCACTGCCTCTTAGGGATCAAGATCAAGACACCGGACTATCATCAGTGAATTAATAACAAAATACCAAAAACCTGCTATGCCCATTACACTGTAGTAGGTGCTAAGCTAGTGCTGCAGAAATACGTTGTATACATGGTCCTCTCTCTCATTTTCCTAAGCAACATAATATCAAAGCTTTATGATATTCCACAGTAGAAAAACCTGATTAACCCAGCCTCTCTTAAATTTCATTTGGCCCTAACCATGACTTCTTTAACAATTATAACCACCCCAGGGAACTAGCATTCTGCTGAACACACTTTAGCAGACCACTGCTTTATAAAATTTCATTTTTTTAAAAGCATGGTTTCTTCTCCCCAAATTTATCACCTTTGGTCCCAAATCAACTTCCTTAGACATAAGAAAAGATGTAATAAGACACATTTAGAATGTATTCTCATCAAGTACCACAACCATAAAAAAGAGAGCAGCTTTAAATGTTTATGGAGTTTATAAACATCTTTCAGTATTTGAGAGAGGACACAAATGATGTTATTTATTAATTGACTGATTCATTTATTCAACAGACACTCACTGGGCATGTATTGTGCACCAGGCACTGTTCTAGACACTCAGAGGCTCATCTAAATGAGGTCCCCCCCACCAATTTCTCCACAGCAGCCTATCATGAGTGAATGTGGCAAGTGTGACACCAGGTACATAAAGTTTTGTGGGAACACAGAGGAAGGAAAGAGTAATCTTGCCTGAGTGGAGAACAGAAGAGGGGAAAGTGGCCCTCTCAGAGGAAGATGGTATTAGTCTTAGGCTTGAAGGGTAGGTGAACTTCCTTTCAATAGGTAGAGAAGTAGGAAAGGCTCTGCTAGGAGAATAAGGATCAGGAGAAAGGAAAATATCATCCTTTCAGGGTAGGTTGGTAAGAAGATTTCATACAAGCCACATTTCAAGAACTTGTCCCAAGAGACACTGACTTGATTCCCTTCCTTGTTCTACCACTTCACAGACCAGGAAGAAGGTAATTTTGAGAGGATAAGGGAGGACAAGGAGGCTACAAAGACAAAGGGATTGGAGCTCCCCTTAACCCTCAGCCCCTCTCCCCAGTCACCAAGGGGACTCATTCTTCCTGCTGGGCTGTTGAGCAGTTCATGATCTGGGATGCGATCTACATAAGTATCCAGGAAGTTTCCACGGGCGGGGGATGTGAGGATGGATGATCCCTGCACCCCCATCCACGTTATCTGTAGGCATGGCCCCATTTAATTAGTGAGGGCAATGACACAAGTTCCTCCAGGAAAAGAAGCCGTTTTTCTGCTAAGGAGGCTTCCAGATTTCCAGGTGAGGACAGACTTGGGGGAATGTCTCTGAGGGTGTGTGCTTGGAGCAGCAGTGAACCATGGCTCTTCAGAGGAGGCCGGCAAGCCCCACTCCACACGCGGGCACTCATCCTCATGCCTTCACATCAAGGCCCTCCTGGGAACACACAACCTTTCGACTGAGTCGCTGTCCTGCCATTGCTGTAGAAGCCAAACTCTGTGTCCTTCTCACCACAGACACAAAATCACAACCAATTATGTCTCCTAATAGAGCACCTAATGGTTGTAATTAAATCACCCAGAGTGGCACACATTCAGCTTCCTGTCTGAACCCGCTCATGCCAACCTGGGTTCATTTCATACACATCTGGACGCTGCTCAGCCCTTCTTAGGAGGATCCAACTTTCACACCTTTAAAGCACTTAACAAACCAGACTTTCATTTCCCAGAAGATCCTCATCAAGTAGGTCTGGCTCATTACATCTGTTTTAACCGTGAAAGCAAAGACAAGGAAATTCCTAGACCAAGGTCACCCCAGTCTGACAAAGAACAAAGACAGACAATGAATGGTTAGATCCCCTCCTTGCCCAGCACATGCTCCAGATGACATAACCTCAGAGCATGTGCAGAGAGAAGAAGCCCTTGAGTAGAAAATCCACGTGGATTTTCGAAAATTTTATGCTGCAATATTTAAATTTTTTGTATAAGGTCTTAATATCCCATTTCGTCTTTAAAAATTGAGATATAATTCACATACTATAAAATTCACCCTTTTAAAGTATATAATTCAGTGGTTTTTAGTATATTCACAAAGTTATGCAACCACCACCACTGTCTAATTCCAGAACATTTCATTGACTCAAAAAGAAGCCCTATATTCATTAGCAGTCCAAGTCTTTTCCAGGGTCCTAGGCATGGTGGCATCAAGGAAAGAACAGGTATGGGGGAGGGGGGACTGACAAAGCACTTTCCTGGGAAGGTGGTGGCCTTGGCCCCCAGGTCAGTCCTCTGAAACTCTCTGTGGGTTATTCATGTCCATCCTGATGGATGGTGAGATCATGATTCCACCTAGACTAGACTCACTACAGAGCACAAATGGTGAAGGAAAGAAGGCATCATCCCTGCCAAGGGCATCCCATCATTTTTCAGTTTCCAGGATAATTACTGAATCATAGTTTCTTCCTTGACTTTTTTTCCCTTTCCTGGCAGAATCTGAGATGGAAGCACTAAAATGCTGAACCAAGAACTTATTTACTTATGCTACATCTGGCTTGGGTCAACCAATGAGAAAACACAGAGGGCACAGTAAACATCTTCTTGTGAATTTTTTCTCCAGCCAGACTGAGATCGGAGCTTAGAACACTGATGTAATCCTGTTGGCCCAGATGTCAGCAAAATATCTCAGGAAGAGGAAATGTTCAGAAATTGCTTTACCAATGCAAGCCTGCCCTGAGACTCACAAGGAGCACATTTGGGAGGTGATGAAATAGTTACTCCATCCAAGGCCAGGGGAAGATAGCTGATGAGACTCAGAATCTTTGCCACATTGTACTGAATAAACCAAGTGCCACCAGGATCCTACAGTTGTCTCAAGATACCAGTACCAATGCCATTACCACACTGCGGGGGTAAGGCATCCGAAAAGGGAAAGCTGTCCTGACTTTTAGCGTGTCCATTCTTTCCTCAGCACCTCCCAAAATTCTGCCACTGCCTGGAATGTGCAGAAAGCGGGCACTTTTTATTCTTCTATACAATAAATATTTTGGGAGCATACCTCTATTTCCTACATTCAGCAAGTTGTGGCCCATGGTCCCTACTCTCAAGGAGCTTTCAATCTAAAAGGAGATGTGAGACATGGGGATGAATAAGTGTTCCAAACAGTCACAGCAGTGCTGAGTGAGAGGGTGGAACTTGGCCAGGCATCAATGGATGGGAAGGAATAAAATGAGAGAAAATGTTGGGGTGGCAATTCCAGATGAAGAGAACAGTGTGTACAAGGAAACAGAAGGGAAACTGCATGTTTGCAGAACCACAGGAGGTCTGGTTAAGCTGCAGGGGGGAGGATGAGGAGAAGAACTGACCAGGACAGAGGCTAAAAATGCAGATTGGTGACAACTGTGGAAGTCATGGATGCTAGTTTAAGGCACTCAGAGCTAATACAAAGTCACCCAAGATTTTATTAAGAGAGGAATGGAACTAAGACTCAACTTAGGATGATCAGGAAGACCCCCAGAACAATGGCAGACAAAGCAGATTCAATCAAGCTCTCACTGTGACTCTAGCCCTATATACTGCAGTGACTCAAATAGCAAACTGGGGTTCAGAAGGCCTAGATATGGTCAGAGTGACCTTGAATTTGTTGCCTTGTTTGGAGCTTTTTCATCTGTGAAAGGAGGATCTGTGTATATGAACTTCAAGACTCTATCCTGACATTCCATGATTCTAAGTCCAAAAGGGTGCACCTTCCATGACCACCTATAAAGATAAGGTTGATGTCCTAAACAAGTCAAACTTTCTCTCATGTCTAACCTATTACTCCACCCCTACCTTCCCACTGCATATAGGGGAGATAGGCTTGGGAAGATTTGATGAGAGGCCTCAAGAGCCAGACCATCTTCACACTGGACTTCAGGCTGGTGAGAAAGACTGTCATTCACGCTGGTACAGATAAATGGTTTCTAAGAAAAAAATCTTAGCGCTTCCACATGCAATAGAGATCTGGAAAGATGGGACCTTGGGCAGGGAAAGTCGTAGAAGAGAATGATTTGGAATAGGGAAAAAAAGGCAGAGGGAAGAAGAGTAAGATGAAATCACTTTTAAATTAGTTTTAGCCATTGTCTAGTTTGTGGGCTGTGAGCTTGTAGCACCATCTTTTTGCGGGGTTAGCTTAGGATACCTACAACTCCGCTGCAGAAATTCCTCTTTCAGCAGTTACAACTTCTCCACGCCATCCAAGCACCTTGTTCCTTCTTTGGGCATACCCTTATGCTAAGAGCACTCAAACT